CTTATTAGAAGCTTTATTTCGACCTATAGTCTATTATTATACGATCAACCGTTCTTGAGTTATGAGCAGGCTATTAATTACAGTCTCTCACATTCACAGCCACTTCCGGCTAAATCTTGTACAGATGTTGTTTCCTATTTTATAGTACGATGTGGTCTGTTTGGTTTGTACATAAACCCAGTATGTTTGAAATACATGATTCATATTGCAGAGGCTGAGATTGGTGTTCTGAACTTAACAGGCAGGGTTAGGTAGGAAGCATAACCAGCAAAAACTCTAGACTGCTCGTACGGGTTTTATGTGTCATTCGTCCGGTCGATAAATTACTGTTCTCTAATTGGCGGTATGATTAAGTCATACATTGACAGGGGCACAAAGCCATAAGTTATGACAAAAAACACTAGGTTTTTTTTAGTCCGAATACATGGCATTTGAGTGTGTACAATCGATTTTTTTTTAAATAGTCCACTATGCCTCACAAACTTAACTCTGATGATGCTCAAAATGAGAAAAGTAGATTAACATGAATTACCTCATGGTTGAGCAAACATGTTTTTCATGATTATCAAATAATAAGGAACTTAATTATTGTCTAGCTGTTTGACAGTGTACATTAAGTTACTTCAATAAATAATTTAGAAATCATTTAATTCACTCTTTCGTTCTTTCCATGACAACTTGGTTGATATTAGTTTAAGTAAATATGCTCTATTGTTAGAAAGAGATCACTCAATTACTCATAATCTGATATTCTATAGTTTGTTTATTCTTAATGTGAATAGAGAAATAAAGAAACCATAACAATCAATGGAAGTTATTTCTTAAGAGTATTATTTGATTGAATTCAAATACTGCTTATTTCATCAATCATAATCTTTCGTTTGATGTATAGTTTACTGTCATACCATTTTTTATTTCAAAATTATTGTACTTTAAACGTAACCTTTTGTACTTAATTTCTTTATCTCAAGGCTCAATTTGGACATTATTGTATTTATCAGAATGGGTTTTGTGGAGATTTTAGAAACTTCACTGGTTGAAATCATGAGTCAATTAAAGCTAGACCACCATAGACAACCTAGAAGCACTGGACGGCCGTTTCGTCTTAGTATGGGACTCCTCCCAACTTCGAACCTCGTGGGGGGAGGGATCGTGGATGCGCACCACAATTCGGACTCACAGTTCAAGGTTGATTTAGTTACCTTATCGTGTCAAGGCCCTAAACCAGATCGAAACAGATTCTATTTTGTATATTATTGAAGAAACGGATAAAGACTTAACAATTCTACATCTTTTAAAGGTTTCTATTTTTTGAAAGCAGCTTTTATTCCCATAGTAGTAGAGGTAGTAAAAGTAAAAGCACTAATAGAAAGCATTAGGGTTTGAAGACGTTATTCAAGGAATATAATTCAGTGAAATAAATTTGGAAAGAGAAAAAAAAGACGAGGATTCAGGAGATTAGAATTCGGGAGAACACAAAGAGTGTTATTCAGGGTTTCTAACCATCGGTTGCTATCGTCTCGCGGATCCCAACCACGTAGTCTACACCTACCAACATGACTCAGTCCACGTGTCAATGACTTCATAGATTTGTGCTACGTTTTATTCTGGCCTAGCCTAGCTTTCTTCTAACCTATTAATCAAAGTATCTTAATATTTAACTGACTATCAATGCAAGACTATATGGTCATTTAAAAGCTCATCACAACGTTCTGTATTACAGAATATCAACAAGGAATGATCAATACTTGGATTTTCAAAGTTCAGTTAAACTGGGCAGAAAGAGAAATCTAGTTCTTAAGAGCTAAACAAATGTATATCGAAGACACAATAGACAATAAACTGTTTTAACCCCAACAAATACTTATCAAAAATGACTATCCATGAAAGCTCATTAAAAGAAATTTGAAGCCTAAACTACAACCTGGAAAATCATCTACAGTTCAAAGGGAAACTCTCTTTATGAACACTTAAAGAGGATACTAAAGTGAAAATTCTGAAAATGTGATTCACAAAATCCTTGAGAAAAATATTTTATATTGTTTCAGCGTGGGAATATATCATCAACTCTAAGTACGTTGCCCTACAAGAATATTCCTTCAAAACAATCTACATGATAAGAAGAATTCCATCAAAACAAAATGCCATAACAATAGCTTGTGCGCTTCTGTGACGTGGATAATCCATCAATTTAAGCCCAAACTCTGCATACAAAAGCAACACGTTCAACCTCCCAGTTTTCGTGACCATAGTGTAAAAGAAGGCAACAGGCTGGAGTTACAAAGTATTTACATAATGCATATATATAGCTTTAAATCATCCATTCGCATCTTTTGGTGTGTTCTGCCATCTGAACTATTTTGTCATCTGGTCTCCAAGTGTTCTGTCAGCTCCGTGCTTTCGATGCACTGAAATTCGTCATTCCACCTGAAAATTGTTTTAAATTAGACTCTACGTTCTGCTAAATACTACTTGCATTTTTTTGGAGTAGCATGCACTACACTAGAACTACTTTCAGTATGCTTTTATTCAGTATTATATCTCATTTCTTTAACTCTTAACCCGTTGTTATTTCTCTATTGCCGTATTTCTGAAATTTATCATTTAGCTGATACTATCACCTTTACATTTTTCTTTTTTTTTCTTTATACCCGTTAAGTAAACAATTATCTCTTGCATTTTAGACCCATAAAATAATTTTCGCCTTCACACGTCTCATCAACCCCTAGATTATTACACAGACACCATCTAATACTTGAAATTTCTTTGTGATTTATATTTTCCTACAACACTGGACTCGGATATTTATTAAATTACTATAAATTGAATGTACAGCTTTCGTAAATGACACTATCGAAAGGAAGATTTTCTTTGCTTAACTCTCTATTTCTTTCTTAAGTTTCTGATGCCTTTTTGACATGAATGTAGTTATACATTTGACACTTTTCTATGTATAGTATTGTTGTGTTTATTTTAAGAAAATACTGATGAACATTTTGAACAAGATATATCAAGATATGAACTATAAATCTGAAAGATATATATATATGGATGAGAACTACAATTAATTCATTCGTTTTCAAGTGTAATCTCTCGTTTCCAATGTAACGAGTATTCGACAAATAAACGTACCAAAGCTTTTAGCAAAACAACTTAATATGCTGAGTTTACATTGATCAGATTTGATGTTTAATTTATAAAAGCTTACAATAATACTTAAAATGTTAAATTGTTTTTAGTTATAACTAACTAAATGATTAAACGGACTTGATAAAATTTCTAAACAAAAAAAACTTAACTCAAAGCCGACTATATTGACCATCTTAGGGATATGAATAATGTTATAGTTATTTCAAACAACTCAACGGTAAAAATGAATAACATATGTTAGTAAAGCATAGCACTGGTTGTATATAAATGAGCAATCAGATGTTGAGTCGGTATTATTCAAGTTTTCTAAGCGTAAATTGGTATATTTTCTACGAGATTTCAAAAACAAAATACTGATTGTTAGTTAACGTGTCCAGCTCATGAAGTTTTAACGTTCTGGATATACTAGGGATTCATGTTGAGAACAAGTTAATGTTGGCCTTACCCAATCACAGTAGCAATTTGGTCATAAATAACATACATGAAAAACTAAGGATTATGTCTTTCTCAATTTTCTGCATAAATCCCCACTAAAACGTCCTGATTTCTAGAAATTATCATCTTTAATGATCAAAATATATATTTGTTGGTACTAAGTTGATTTTATAGTTTTACAAAAAAGATAGGAATGTTACCTTCTATAAAAAAGCAGCAAATTTACCCTCAGAAGTTTTTGTATCACAAATTTAAAAGATAAGCAAAACTTTATGAAGAGAAATAAAGAAAACCTTAGTATGTTCTAACTATTATCATAGTACAAGTCTTATTATTTGCGTGTTTTAACATCGAATTGTGAAGCAATTAGTCCCTTTGATAAATTTAGATAGTCCAATAAGAAGATTTCCAAATCTATGTGATATATTAGCGCGAAACATCTCAAACAGTCTGATCATAACAAAATATAACCCACAAAATTGTTTTAAATGGGCAACTATAGTGATATAACTTCAACTATGCTTAAAAATAGTCAATTTTATATGCTTTTTGCTCTAATATTAAAATTATAACCAAACTGATAGTACAATAAAAAAAGTTTCTCGTTAAGAGTATTTTAAAACTAGAATAAAATTTATGTACCCATTTTTGCATACTTGAGAAAAAATCAGAACACGGGGACTTATGACTAATATCTAGTCACCAAAAGTAAAAAAACGTCTTATTAAATAGCACTAAGGTACACTAGTTTGTTCATTTTTGTGAAGATTTTTTATTATATTAGAAAACAACACATAGCCATCGACTTTGAGATAAGTTTGAAACTCAAAAACAATTAAATAAATTTAATCAAGACCAACAAAATCTTACCATTATTTCGAGACATTTGTTCACATTCTTCGAACTTATTTATAAATTTACAGGGGACTTATAAAGCATTGTCAAAAAACATACATAGGTAAGCTATCTAGTTTTTGTCAAATGAAGTCACTTATTTTCAAGCAATTAGTTAATTTTTGAAGAAAAATTGTCTTCTACTGAAAATAAGGTATTAATATCCTACTGGATATAATTGTTACTCCTCAACTATCTAGTCATTTTATAAACCAGGATTATACCAAATAATTGCTTTGTAGCAAGTAAAACAGTTAACCATTCTGTAACTCCTTATTCTTAACCTTAGTTTTTAAGTGCAATTTTAAGGACAGCATAATTTGAACGAGATATCTGTTTAAGAGTCAGATGTTGGACTGAACATTTTCCTTAATGAATTTTATTTGATCGTAGCACAAAAATGTGTTTACAATCCTCCTAATTGATTGCACTTTATAATATAAGAAGTTAAATTAAAGATATATAACAATATAAAATAAGCATAAGGTAACGATTGTTATTTGGTGAAAAACTTTGCTTACCTGACCCATTTCTTCAATTAGATCTGAAGTGTTAGCTTTAGCTCTTTCATTTATCCTCTCGTCATATAAGTTTAAATCCCATTCAAAAAATAAAGAACCAATAAATTTTTGCATTTCTATTGTAACATACAAAGAGATTGGGATTATATAATTATATAGAACAACGAATCCTAGAAGTTCTTGAAAAACGTTCCAAGCATTTCTCTTTTCTGGTGGAAGGTACCAAACGTTAGGATGACCTAGGACTGAACTCAGAATAATGGAGACGATCACACTGAAAGCCAGGAACGCCAAAATAAAGAAGAGGTAGAAGTTCAGCCTTCCTTCAACTTGTGAAAATTTTGTGGTTTTTCCCTTTGAATTAAGGGCCAGTTTTGTATCACGGCCCGTGTAGACAGCACAACCATATATATAATCAGTATTACGAAGACACGCTCCTCTCAGTAGTAAATTTTTAGGTCCGAGCGGATAATCCTTGGTAATCGTATCTTCAACTGAGTTTTTTAGGCAAATACGGCCACTAAAGGTATATAGATCTTCTACCGGTTGTTGACAACATATGTAACCTATTAGCTCCGAAGCAAGTGATTCAGGTGTATCAAATTTATTTGTATGACCAGCCACTTCGAACTTTTTCAAGTTTGTCTCACCATCTAAACTTGCAGTTGTAACAAAACATTCTCCACTGGGCTCGCTTGAACTTAACAAAATCATATCACAAGGAAATGAGGAGTTATTTCTGCATAAGATTATGTTCCCAACTTCAAGTTCCATAGATTTTACTGTCGTTAAATGACCATTCTCAGTAACTATCTCAATAGGAATATGATTTATCTCTCTATCTGCCTTAAGTCTCAGGAAGTCTTCGTAGCCTTGTTTGATCATAGTCACTGAGAGCACAAAAAATAATGGAATTATCGATGTAGTTGGAGATACTGGGGAATCTGTAAACAACTGAATTATAGCAAGACTGATGAAATAAAAGTTCGCAATTCTCTGTGCTTGCTCTCCAAGATTTTGGAAAAAGAACCCATACCACGTGTATTTTGTGGTTGTGACTTTATTCCTACCATAAAGTTTCCTCAAGGGATATCCTTCAACTGGAAAGAGCTCTTTGGAGACTGGGCCTACTGGGATGAATCTTTGTGCAGGTTGAGGAGGACGCTGTATTCCAAGTTTAATCGCAATAGTTTTCAACTTTTTAATCATAACTTGTGATAGTGGAAATGTTAATCAGAATAAATTATTTCTACGATTTAATTATTGGCATTCACAATAATGTTGTTCGACCGAACTTCAAAGACACTTGAAAGAACTCATTCAGTTTGTTTTGAAACATGAGTTTAATAGAATCACGAGTTATATATTGGTTTGAAAAGCAACTGCTCGTAATTCCAACGTGCATTTATATTGCCGCTATTTGTTTGTCCAAGAAAGTAAATCAACGTTTATTCATTCTAACACACAGATAAAATCTGGAAGTGACGCAGTTACGGTATGTGACTATTATCTACATTCAATAATTTTTCAAAACTATTTCTGACAAAATTTCGTAGCCTCAACATTTAAAGTATCACGCTAAATAATAAGCGAGCTTGTAGTTCTTCAGTTTTGAACCTTCATATATCCGAATTTGCTGAGCCTCCTTACTATTCACTGCTGAAAATTTCTCTTCTTCGCGTAGATTTATGACTCCTAACCGAACTTATATGTAGCGAAAAAAGACTAAACTGGTAAATAACTCCCTAAAATAATCACTTTTCCAAGCAGTTCGCATTTATTGTAAACACGTTGATTTTAACGGACATTAACAGCTGAATATGTTCGAAAAATAATCACCACCTGTCCACCCTCTGAATCAGGGTAAACCCTTCCAGTACTCAAGTTATTTATTTTAAACGACTTTCTTATTCCTAACCCCCATTCCAAAAGTAAAGACACTTTTCTTTTAAAAATTTGTCAACTTCCTCTTATTCTTTATGAGAAACCGTTGGCTGATGCTTGAGACCAGTATTATCCTGTTCCAAATTGCTTCTTTAGTCATTCTGACGAATCGTTCGCTGGTATTAGGACAAATGGTTGAAAAAACTCCTAGAATATCTTCAAGTTATTTACTAGAACGGAAGTTAATGTTCAGTGTGTTCTTAGGTGCTATAATTATTTCTCCGGCTCGTGAGCTATGTAGTTCTGGATTCGATTCGATTTACTTCTGCATGTACTCATAAGCATAGTTTTTGTATTGAAAATATTGTACGGTCTGTAAGGTATCACTTTAATTTTGCTGAACTTCCAGTCAAGCTGAATGTATTCACGCACCTTTAGAGTTACCACTAGACTTCAGTCATTTTACTGATGTCTCTATGAATGGCATCTAGAAACAGTTCAATGTCAATGAACCTATGATATTAGCTGAACCATATTAAAGGTGGTAGCTGAGAGGCCGCCTATGGAGTTGCGAGAAAAGTGAGTAAAATTGAGTATGTCCTCAGAATGTGAAGACGCTGAACCGAGTTTTATTGACAATTTAAATCTTGCGGTGTACTATGTGAATACATCCATCCAGTAGCTTCCAAAAGTAGTACAACAAGTCCTTTCAGTAAACAGAAGCTTTGTTTTCGAGGATGGTCTTAAAGTAGTATGGATCAAAAACCACACGATATTCAATACTTAACATATGATATCTGTGAAGGTTAACATTCTACATTTAACACTTAGAAGAGGTCAAAGTTGATGAACGCAGAGACACTTAATCGGTATGGCAAGGCAGGTGTAGTCACTCTATGTAACATTTTGCTCGTCTGATTAATTATGCCATTTCTAGCCACCCCAAATGTATTCTTCAGAAATCCTTGACAAAAACCATTGTCTGTCATGATTGAACAAGTCATCATAGAAAATGATGTGACTTTCACATAGGCTCTTGTAGACCAGGTAGTCACACCTTATCGGTCGATTATTCTAGTTCCATAGATCTAGACAATAATAATGACACCATATGTAACAAAACTTCGTCGACGGTATATAGTACAGATCAACTCTTTTGTGCAAAAGTACTAAGTTATCAATCTAAGAACTCTCTCATAAACTGGGCTTTTGTCCAGAAATTTTAGCAACCAGGTAGATGGGAATGAAAGATAATGACGATTTGTACAGCGTATTATTACTTCTGGATCTCGTTCTTTAAATTAATCTTAAGATTAAAATTATTTTTGCTGCAGAAACAAACCTGGTCGGAATTGATATCCTTACACGAATTCGCTTTGAAATAGAGATGCTGAGTGCAGAATTCCATTTATATAATGTCAAGAAGAACAGCTTAAATGATTAATAAACTAAAGCCCATTGAATAGTATGGAAAAATGACTTATTTGCAGGCACGATTACTTTGGTGATGTATTCTTACTTATTGTAGATTTAAAAGCGTAAAGTGATGCTACAATTAAGTTCGTGATAAAAGGACTGGAGTCCTCATAACATATGTCTTATTACGAACCGCATGAATAACTAAGCACAGCATAACCAACTGGTTCGAAAACCAACATAAGAACTTCATTCGTCAGGGATTTTATAGCTTGACGTCACGACGTACTACTATGATGATTAGGAGTATTTGAATTATGTACTAATTAAGAAGCTCAGAAATAACGCAATTGGATCAAAAAGTACTAAATAAACATGAACGATTGTATTGTATTTGAAACTCGAAATCAAGCATTTAAAAAGTACGAAGACATCATTAATTCGTTTAAACACCACATCCGCCATATCTTAAATTAGAGTCTGAGGGTCTGTAATCGATTGTACGTCTTCTTCTCAGGTTCACCCTGTGTCTGTTAGATAGTTTATGTTATGTTTGAAGCTTCACGGGTTCACTTAGACTGCGAACGAGAACAATACTCAGTGACCAAAGACCAGTAATCTAATTATTGACGCGTCCCAGCCCCGCTAACTAGAAGGAGAAGTTCAGGCTTGGTATGGAAAATATATTCTGCATACAACCAGAAACGAGCGAGCAAGCAAGCAAGCAAGCAGCAGCGAACAGTAGCGAACAAGTCAAGTCAAACACACAACTCACGCGTATTTATACAATATTTACAATCGATATTGTCATAGGAAAATTGTAAACACTAATCAATGAGTTCATAAATTGACCTATTTGCACATTAATCGATAGTTCATCAATTGACCTACTTGCACATCCAATTGATAGGTTCATCAACTGACTGCTATACAAACTTTTAATCGATCAGTTCATCAAATGACCCCAATACAAATATTTAAACATTTTATCAATAAGTTGATCGATACAATAAAATTTTAAAAATATGAGTTTGGGGATCTATCGTCCCCAACACTCCTCCCCTTTTTAATAGCGCGCTTTTCTGGGGTCGACTTGCATCTTGACTGTAGTTCGCCGCTGACGGAGAGGCCACCTTCTGGGACGGGGATCAGCTTGCTGTCGAGCTTCTTGTGGTGGGGCTGCAGGTAAGTTGAAAGTATCAAGCAAGATGTCGAAGGGAAGATTTACTGCATTTGATGGGTGGTCTGGGGCAATCCGCTTACGTAGTTGGTTTCGGTGTCTAGTCCACGTGTCTCTTCCCACCTTTACCTCGTACATAACTTGACCTAGTCTTCCAACCACACGTGCTTCGATCCAAGGACCATGATTTGCTCTGTAGTCTCGAGCGAACACGGGGCATCCAATCTCGTACGCTGGAAGCTTCTGAGATTTGGTATGGGATGGTGGTGGTGTGGTTCTTGGGCACATGAGACTGTGGATCGTCCTCAATTTCCTTCCCATCAGGATCTCTGCCGGGGGCTTCTGCTGTGGTAGCATATCACTAGGTGTTGTTCGGTAAACAAACAAGAAATTCTGCAGTGTTTCTACTGTCGTCCCCTCCCCTTTCGACTTCATTAGAGCTCTCTTGAATGTATCTACAAATCTTTCTGCTTGTCCATTTGACTGTGGGTGATAAGGTGGAGAGCGGAAATGCTTAATCGATAGGCGTTTGCAAAATTCTTGAAATTGACTTGAGGTGAATTGCGAACCATTATCGGAAACGATTATATCCGGTAACCCGTTGCGAGAGAACATCTCTGTCAAAAGTTGTATCGTTTGAGTTGTCGTTGGTGGCACGACGGGAACGATTTCTGGCCATTTCGAAAAGGCGTCAACAACGACTAGATAGGTAATTCCATTAATTGGGCCTGCGAAATCGACATGTATCCTGGACCAGGGATACTCAGGCTGTGGCCATGGGACCGGCAGTAATTTCGCGTTACACTTGGCTGCTTGCTGACACTGTGCGCGGTCCTCTGTCAATGGGGAGGCAATAACTGCATCTTCGCCGGCCGTATGATGTTCGCTGGTCGAAAACTCCGTCATTGGTTCTTTCGAATATGATTCAGGTTCATGAGGTTGTTCAACCAGATGGCATACGGTGCTTAACGGGACGTCAGCTAAATGTAGCCGGTCATACCAGTCTAACCCAAGTAGATTAAGATCAGCTGGTGTAATGTAACATAATCCGGTAAACGTCGAATCATGAAAAGTCACTTTACAATCTAGTTGTCCCAACAAACGTAAATAATTACCACATGCGGTTCGCGGTTTTTGTGTTGTCGGCACCAGGCGTGGTCTTCCCATTCTGATCCAAGATTTTCGTGAGAGAATCGTTACATCAGATGCAGTGTCTATTTGCAATCTAAGAGGGTGCCCATTAATATTAAGGGTAATAAATTTCCTCTCAACTGGGGTTGAGTTCTCACAGCTTGCTATTAGACTCAACGAATTCGTGTTGGATCTAGGCGTAGGTTTTCTGGTACCTCTGGAGTTGCTCGGCTTCTTTTTTCGACAAAAACCATCTTTATGACCCACCGCATTACATTTCCTGCACCGATGTTGCTTATATGGACAGTATCGAACAAAATGCCATGCACCGCAGTGCCAGCATGGAGCAGGAGGATTTGTTTTTGTCTGTCGACCTGAACTAGATGTAGCTGGGGCAGATTTATGCGAGTTGAGTGGTTGTTGGACTACATGAACTTCGGTACGATTTGAACCACCACGCTGGACCATTGTAGTATCACGCTGTAGATTGATTAGACGTTGATATTCATTTGCAATATCATTAAGAGTTAGTTTTGGGTCTTGGTCCAATCGACTTAGCAACCGTGTTCTAATGTCACTGAACTTCTGAGATTGAAGGCTGCAGATGAGAATGAGTGCTTTAAATTGATCTTCAGTAAGCGACTTCAATCGGAAACGTTCACATTCTCGGTTGACAATACCCACATGTGTGAGAAAATCATCATCTTCGTTCATAGTGAGCTTCAAACATCGATAGCGCGCATTGAATAGTGAGGAGTTGTCTCCGAATTGTTGGCTCAATGACTGGACAGTGTCGGAGAATGAACGATCGCGTGGGTTTAAAGGCA